CCCCAAAACCCCAAAACCCCAAAACCCCAAAACCCCGTGTGGCTAAAATAAAAGTAATTCTATTATTTGATATTTCAAAATAAATATTTGTGAATTTTAAGTCCAATGCTAATAACTTGATTATTTTTAGAAGATTATTATCTAAGATTGTGCAAGAAATTATTATCACCAAGATCAATAAAAGGGATTAAATAGATTGCAAGAATAATTGAATTGAATTAAACTTTCATTCCAATTGAATTAGAGTTTATATTGACTTGATTCTGATATTTGGCTGCTTACTTTAGGGCTGTCTAGATAATACTATAGTTTAGCATTAATAGGATTATTTCTTTCTAATGATACAATCTAGAATATCCCACACAATTTATGTAAAAGATAATAGTGGGTTTATAGTGGATTTCTCAATTGATTAGTTTTATTCTTCTCATCCTTATTTGAATTAATTTTAAGTATTTTCCCTTTTAATTCAAATAGGAATCAAGAAACTTCAATCCTATGTCTGCTAGGAAAGCATGAGAAGAGAAAAAGAAAGAAGAGAAAGTCGAGTTAGAGACACTTGAAGCTAGGTCTAGCAAGTAGGGTACATCGTCTATATCTTTGTCCATGATTTTCAAGTATTGATACTTCGGGAAATGAAACGGGAAGCCCTTTGAAGGGTAAAACTGGCCCCGCAATTGGACTAATATACAAAATTCAAAGGCGAATAAGACTCAATTGAGTTCTTTTTGTGTATTGGTGAATGCCAACAATGTTTAAAAAGTAAGTATAAGTCACAGTCTCCTTTCTCCTGTGACAGTCTCCTTTCTCCTTTCTCCTATACTTATATATTCTGATATTAACTAAACTACAGATGAGACTAAGTCTCAGAAAGTAGATAAGACTGCTAAAGGGTAAGCAGTCTATAAGTGTAGTACTTGTTCTGTAGACAAGAGATGAGATTACATAACATCTCTTGATCCGGTTGACTGTAATGTGTGTGCCAAGAAGGCGCTGCCAAAAAGTAGAAGGCAACAAAGAAAAGAAAGAGATCTGAGTCTTCTATCAGCTATGCTAGTGATACTGAAGATTATCCAGTTGATATGATCAAGCACCAGTAGCCAACTCTATCATAGTGTATGCTACGGTAGCTCCCATCTAAATCAATGAGAATAGAAAAATAATAAGATGTTCGTATGGATATATGGGAAAATGATATGAAGGAGTATAGAGAAGAGAAATCTCTCATTAAATAACGCAGAGGTCCTAATAAGAGGAGTAAGACTGATGCTGCTGATCTCATTCACAAATTAGATACTACTGCGGCTGATACAGATATATAGACTACAATCACTGCTCCAGTTCCTTCAGACATTAAGATGAATGATGGTATGTCTGCTGATATGAGTTCAGTGTCTTCAAAATAAAAAGACGAAGTTATTCGCTCTAATGCTCTAGAGATTGTAAACACATCTACAGACATGTCTGCTATCCTTTCTAATAACGTTCTTCTTGATGCATGCCATCTGCTTATATGCGAATCGCCGAGTAATGTATTTCCACCTATAGATGCACACAGCTTATCGAATGCATCAACAAATTACTTGGCCGTGTTGATGCGTTGCCTCATCATTAGATGATAGGACTGATTGCTTCTGCTTTCAGCAGGATAATCGTGCTGGTATAGTGTCACTAGTGCACGCACTATGACAACCCAAGAGAATAGACAAGCTCTTATATAGAAGCTCTCCTTGTATCTCGCCAATAACTATGACTTGCATGCTGCTAAGTGGCTTGATTACTGCTGGAAGTACAGCTCATATCATAAGATAAAAATATGTAAGTATTTCAAATCATCTGGGTAAGAAGTAATGCCTGATGTATTAACATTGTCTCTTGTGGTCTAAAAGTCTAAAATCAGAGACTTTGTATAATGTGCGTATCGTTCTCTAATAAGGATGAGAGAGTAGTCGTGTATGCTGGTATCTAAAATACGATAAAGGCCAGTACAACCAACCATCTCGCTGTATGGTCTACAAGATTTAATAGACTTACTGGCTAGTAAAGAGAGCCAAGAGACAATAAAGAAGACTCAGGCACAACTCAAGCAGACTTTCATCTCTCAATGGGTGGAGATGTTAGAAGCAGCAAAGACTACTGCTAACATTGCTGATGCAGTTTCTATTCAACACTTCCTGGATGAACTACAAGCAAGAATGGTGAACTCGATGACTTAAAGGATGATATCACTTAGAGTGATGATGATAGGTTCACTATGATACTTGATAGTATCGATATCAAGCCTAACAATAAGTAGTTCGCTCTCGCTTAATAAGCGTTACTGAACTCTGCAGTGTCACACGGTAACTATGGGTTGTTCCTTCTGGCTAAGGTAAGTCAAGGATCTCTGCTGGTATTGCTATGATTGCTTTGTTGTGTGGATCTGTTACTAAGATCCATATGGTGCTTCCAAATGAGGAACTTAAGGAGAGAGACATGAAAGACTTTGAGATTCTTCCTGTTTGTGACAGAGGGTGAGGACATGATATCATATAATCCTGGTTTTGACTTTGTACCAATTGATAATGCCCTCGTTATTGTGGATGAAGCAGACTACTTCATGTTTGAGGATCCCCCCAAGTTCAAGCTGTTTGTGTAGAACTCTCCCCTTATATGTTTCACTGCTACTCCTGCTAATAGCACTGTGGAGGAAAAGGTTGCTGCGGAATTGAAATTCGAGTAATACTACTACTACTCGCTCAATGATGCTGCAATCATTGATAAATCAGGTGCACTAAAAGTTGATGTGAACTCCAAAGCAAAAGCAATGGAAGAGAAAGCTACTCACATCAGAGAGCTTGCCAAGTTATCACCAGTGCTAGTTTGCTGTAATCAAGAACTCACTAAAGCAATCATTGATGCTGGTACTGCCCCTGTTATGATTGAAGCAGGAGTTGACTATGAATGCCCTCGCCAACTAGACAAGTTGAATGCTGTCACTGAGCATTATACCATCATTGTTTCAGAGAAGATACTTGGTATGCGTGGCTTCGACGACAGATCAGAGTCTATCCCTAAGACTCTTGTACTTGCTAAGAGCTTTGTGAACAGGAGAGTTGCTACTCAAGGCTTTGATAGAGTGGGAAGATTCGGAGACAAATGCAGCTGAGTGAAGTTCACTGATATCGAGATAATCGAGAAGAAATCAGAGACTACATAGGCACTGGCAATGTTCAAGTTCGTGGACGCCATGAAGAAAGTTTAGATAGTTCTCAAGCCTGTAGTGGTGAAGAAAGCGACCACTAAATGCAAAGGAAAGAGCGACAGGAGACAGACACAATTACTCTAGTAGTGAGTATAACTACAACTGCAACGAGGGCAGCAATGGCACTCGATGTTTGAGTGCAAACAATTCAAAAAATTATAATCTCCTTATTCACTAATCATTCAAAACAATACTTCTTTATGTGTTGTTATCATCATCATCATTAGGAAACTTTGTCTCTTTGGCCAATTCATCCATTCTTAGTTAGTCTTCCACTTCATTACTATCGCCCTCGAATTCCAAACCACATTTGGTCTTTACCATGACTCCAAATCTCAATTATATTATAAAGCGCTAATACTAAGGGGGTTTCCAAGCTTTAAACACCGAGCCAGTGCCTGGCCAACGAGAAAATTACAAAAAAATGGGCGTTCCTTACCCTTTTCGTATGCCCAAAGGGAGACTTTTTGGCGCCTCGAATTCAATTTAGAAAATTTTGAGCCGCTCAAACTTAGCGATTAAGGGTCACCTATGCATCCCATAAGGTTGTTTATCTGTGAGCCAGGTTTCGCCTGTGCCTCACGCTATCATATGTTTAATGTACGAAAAACTCATAATGTGCATCAACTGAGTGTTGTGCATTTATTCGATTTGCCTAACTAATCCTGCTAGAAGTCAGGGTCCAAAATTATAATTCTAGACACGCGTAAGTATCACACCATTAGTAATTTGGTGGATGGTGCTTAAACCCCGTAGGATTATTCTCATGTGTATTATGGTGATTATTTATAATAGATATTGGTGATTATATATAAATAATAGATATTAAAAAAAACACCTATGTTAAGAATCCTTACTATTGCAACTCTTATGATAGCCTTTATTGGAAGCTCTTTCCAAGTACAAATCAGAGGGCCCCCCCGCATTGCTGGTTTAAATTCAATAACTCTTCCTCCTCGTCCGACTATTGCAAGCAAGAATATGTTTCCGATGTTAAATAAAGGTTGAGGCTATTTGTGAAAGCAGTCTGATTAGATGGTGAAAGAGCCGTTTAATGAGGCATATTTGGTAAAGTCCTACTAGACTACGAAACAATCAGCCGACAAACTCTAATTAATAGACACTCGGAATAAGTTGTCTGTTCTAATAGTTTAATTACCATAATCATATATTATATCTACATCTTTTAAGTTTTTTTTCTCCAAAAATTCATATTCGTGTTCATTTATATGTCAATAAATTCAAATTAATTAACGGCTTCCTTCATATATCTAAATTCATATGCTGTGGGGTTTTGGGGTTTTGGGGTTTTGGGG